TATATATATATATATTTATATATATATATATACTTGTGTTTTGCAATGATGTGTTCAAAGTCTGTAATTAAAATATCAAAACAGAGAATCTCATATTAACCTTTACTCAAAATTTCCCATTCAAGTGATTTTTTTTCTCTCAAAAACAAACAGGCAAATTAATTTCACATTGCAAAATATAGTTTGGCAATGGTAGTTCCATCCACATTTTCTGAAAAGCACAATAAATGTTAATGTGCTGTGGTGTATGCTGTCATTTATAAAACTCGCAGTAGTGCTTTAGTTCTCTAGGTAGGCTAAGGTTTGCACTCTAGTGGCCTCTTAGGACGCTTAATACTTAATTTTATTCTTGTCTGTGGTCTGGAACTGCATCCATTAATGCAGCAATTGGCCACTCAATTAAGTCACTGTCTCTCTCTGTGCATCCATAATAATGTGAACCTGAGGCAACTCTGCACTCTAGAATTGTCTAATGGGGTGTTTTTGTCAATACTGTCATCCAGGCAATGGGGAGAGAAAAACAATGTTGTGAAACTATATAATTTTAAATCAAATTTCCAGGTTACGATTATATAGTATCTGTGTGCAGAGTGTTTGTGTCCTTCAGAATGATAGAGACTGTGTTTATAAAAGTTATGAAGTATAATGTCAAGAAAGGAAATTCAAGAAAAACAAATGTGTATGTTTTACTTAAAAGTTCACCTAAAAATGAAAATTCATTTACTCGGCCTCGTGTCATTCCAAACCTATGTACACAAAAACAGATATTTTTAAAAATATCTCTGTGTTTGTGAGGGTGAGTAAATGATGACAGAAGAGCATTATAGATAGTGCCCTTGTACCTAACTCTGATATGTTCAGTATTAAAATTATGTCTGATCTATGGAAAAGAAAATGAATTACATTTAGTTTGTGCTCATAATCCATTTGTCTGATTACATGAATACAGTCAGTGACAAAAACAGACCTACAAATATCAGGAGAAATGATGCCGTGACTCAGAAAAGGAATGTGCTTTTTATTTGATAAACATACTAAATTATCTTAAATGCTAATATCGGTACATCACCTTCAGAGAACAAAGCAGACAGAATTGTGTTGACGTTACACTTGTCGAGGTTACTAAGGTTACATTTGCCGAGGTTTTTCAATTGGGGGCTTTTTGTGGTTCCCTGGTGGGACGCCATAACAGGCGTTTCCATATCCGCCAACGTTACATAAATATGACAAACATGGCCTTGTTTTTATTCGGAATCTTATAAAGGTGAAGCTATCGGAGTTAAAATTGTATTTGTCTCCTGTCTACCAAATGTTTTTCCCAAACGTTTTTGTCAGCCATTTTTTCCCGCTTCAAATCTTTCACTGAATTCAGTATGAGCTGAATCTTTTCAATTATATTTTGAACGTCATGCTACGAGTTTTGAATGTGCTCTGTTGCATCTGAGATTTGATGGTCTACCCAGAGCGCATGGAACATCAGGAACAGCAAAAAGGGAATGAGGAAAGAGAGAGCGAGAGAAAGAGAGAGAGGCGGTAATGTGATGTACTCCCACACCTTTGCTATTGCTGGATTCTGCTATCTGCACCAGAGCTTCTGGAGTGGGAGTTTCAGATGAAGACAGCACTCAGAGAGGCTGCTACATGTTGGAGTTCCTCACAGCTTCCATGAAAGATCGGGATTGCCTTCATTACTTGGCTTTCTTTGAATATTTTCATGGATTTTGAACAATGATCCTGAATGAATGTGGTGGACTTGAATCTGAAGCTTCTTCACTTTGGGTCGTGATGGAAACCATTGGATGGGAAAATTGACTGGCTGAACTGAACTAGCAACCTTTATAAAGTCTTTATGATAATGGCTCCCCGTAGCTGATTTTTTTTTCTCTGTTGCCTTGTTGTGATCATGTTTGCCAGGATCTTCATTCCCAAGAAGCATCGGCAGCGCTTTGACGAGGCAGTTTCTCAGAGTCTCCTCAACCGCATGTGCCGTAGCAAGAGCCTGGGTGAGCCCCAAAACAGGCTCCGCCGAAGCCGAAGTCAAGACCACCACGAGCGTCCTCAAGGCTCAAAACGGGCCAGTTCTGTGCCCAGAGATACAGGCGATGACCCGGCCCAACCCGAGCGTGGCCTTAGGAAAAGCACCACCATGATTCCCAGCCACTATGCCACTGGAGCCAACCAGAGGTATGTATCGCGCACCTTTTTTATAGGTGTTCCTTTTGTGTGTGTCCTATTATTTCATTTAATGATAAAATGAGCTTTTTCATCTTCCATGCTGGTTTGAAAGGACAATTTTATCCCAAAACACTGCAGGAAGCCTCCTCCAATGCTTAGAACACTGTGTGATATGTGGGAGAATTTGTGTGTGGGTGGGTGAGAGAAGGACTGTTTAGTTGTGTTTGTTTCTGTGCCTCATGCTTTCCTTACTTACACACACATGCACGTACTGTCCACATCACAAGCACTTTTTCATATTGTGATCTACTGGTTGGGTGTTTTAGAGTACCGGATATATAATCAGCTTATCACACTATTTTAATCATTAAAATCGTGACTTAACCTAAATGGAAGAGTGCCATCATATCATATTCAAGCCATGAAGCAGTTTATCTGAATTTGAGCCAGAACTGAAGCAGATCCTCTTGTCGTTTCGTTTTAAATTTGCTCATGATTCACATTTACAGTATTCCTTTCTATATGTCATTACAATCTATCAATATTCTTTATTTGTAAATTGAAAATGATATCAAATATATTACTGGGGAAGTGTCACCCAGAGTGTTTAGGTTATTAAATACTACAGCAAGAGTGGAAATGATGTGCTGATACCCTGTAGACTGTATTCCTCATCTAAAAGCTGCTGCTCTTCAATAAATAATGCTTCCTTGGCTCAGTCCTTATGTAATCCCCATTCAGAGTTTTCTATTTTTTTTAATGTCTTTGTTTATCTGTCATCTCCTTTCTAATTTGCCATCAGTGCTTGGTTCTGGTGGCCCACCTTATATAAAATGGCACTGCGACAAGAAGCAAATGTTTAGACTGCTTTCCCTTATCTCTGTTTACTCAATGGTTCCAGTGTCTCCTTGAGGTGTTGCCACAGCAACCACTAAGGCTAGCTATGCTCTAATGATATGTCATGGGGTTTCTTTAACAAACAGGGAAATCTTAAATCTTCTTCTTAAATAGCTCTTCAAGTGGTGCTTCAGTATACTTGTCCGTTTGGTTTAGTATGTATCATAAGTTGGGATAAATCAATATTTGGATGTTTGGCCTTTGAAATGTATTCATCTTATACTGTCAGTAAACACTGTTACTGTTGTTAGCAACACCCTAACAACCATCTAGTACACCTTAGCAATTGCAAAGCAACACCTTGGCAACTGCTCTTTTGACATGAGCCAGTTAACAACCACCTAGCAATCACACATAACACCCCAACAATGCCTTAGCAACCACCCAGAATACCTTAGCAACTACAAAGTAACAACTTGGCATCTGCTCTTTTGACTTGAGCCACTAAGCAACCACACAGAACACCCCAGCAATGCCATAGCAACCACTCAGAACACCTTAGCAACCACAAAACAACACCTTGGCAAGTGCTCTTTTGACTTAAGCCAATAAGTAACCACCTAACAACCACATAGAACACCCTAGCAACCCCCTATCAACCACTCAGAAAAACGTAGCAACTGTAAAGCGCAAAGTATACTTCAGCCATCCGCGTTCCACAATGGTCCGCTCATTGTCTTAGTGACGCAATTTTCATCATCAGAAGTGTTCGCGGACGTCCACGTACAACCCAATTTGTGTGACCGTGCGGACAGTCCGCATACAACAGATGCAAGATTACGCAGATGCAAGGTGAATGTTGAGACCGAATGGGTCAAGTAAGTGGTACTGCGAATGTCTCACGCTCATCCGTGGTTGAGTATACTTTGAAAGCTGTGCGGACGTGGCTGTGTGCGAGACGGAACGGAATACGGAAACTGAAGTATACCCGGGCCTTAAATGTACTGCTGGGAACTGCTCCTTTGACTTGAACCAGTAAACAGTCACTTAGCAACCAACTAGCACATTTCTGCAATTCCCTAGCGACATCCTAGAACACCTTAGGAACCATAAAGCAACACCTTAGAAACTGCTCTTTTGACTTGAGCCAGTAAACAACCACCTAGCAACCAACCAGAAGAACATAGCAACCGCAAAACACCACAACAAGCGTTTTGACCTAGCCAGTAAGTAGCCACAGTAAATACCCCAGCAAATCCCTAGCAACTGTCTAGAACACCCCAGCAAAGCCATAGCAGCCACCTGAAACACCCCAGAAACTGCAAAGTAACACCATGACAACTTTTTGACCTGGACCAGTAAGTAACCACCAAGAACACCCCAGCAAAGCCCTAGAAACCACCCAGAACACCAAATAACAAGTGTTATGACCTGGGCCAATAGGTAACCACCCAGAACACCCCAGCAAAGCCCTATCAACCACCGAGAACACTTTAGAAACTGCAAAGCAACACCATGGCAACTGTTATTTTGACATGGGCCAGTAAGAAACCACACAGAAGACTTTAGCAACAATCAAAAAATAACTCAAAACACCTTAGCAACTGCATAGCAACCACACACTACAGCCAAACACTGTGGCATTAAGTTTTGTCCAGACGAGCGCTGTCATTTTGAATACAAGTATTGAATATTATGTGAGTATTTAACATACCTACACTCAGTCAGTACAGTCAGTAATGCCTCTCTTGTTTCCTCTGCAGAACCATCCGTGTGTACAGGGGTAAGAAGAGTTTTGGGTTTACTCTGAGAGGTCATGCTCCAGTGTGGATCGACTCAGTAATGCCAGGTGCGTATGAATGATTGTCACGTCTACCCGTAAGCACTTGCAATCTTTCATTATTAATCAGAGTGAAAACAGCACTGACTCTCAGGTGAGTCAGGCTTTTCTTTTTCTGAAAGTTTGTGATCTGACCCAGAATTTTACATCCTGCCACCTAGGATACAGATCTAATGAATTTTTGCTGTCATATTTTTGCCAACAGCCACTGATCAAGTAAAAATGCTCTCTTTATATAAATCACCATCTTCCAGGACACGACGTGTTTTGTTACTAAGAATTTGTGCCACGTTGAGGGTCATATCGCTGTATGCTACAAAGGCGGCTGTAATAAAAAGGCACATAGAAAGCACAGCTGGGGTCAGTGGTTTGTTTTCAAGGGGAATGGAGCGTTGTAGTTATTTTTTTGTTGGTACATTGTGAAAAAGGAAGGAGTGGGCTGTTGTACTAATGAGCAAGCTTTGGGTACATTTGTATTGAAGTCTGCACGATTGTACGTTCTGAGTGGACAGAGGGCGGTAAGTGTGTGAGTGTCTGTATGACGATATTCGCCCACTGCAGGCCTGTGTTAAAGCTAGTTAACACTGACTCAGCTGCCTGTGTGGGGCTGCTTATAAAAACAGGTAGGAGTCTAGCATTGTGATGAAAAAACAGATTACATTCTCTTTCAGACCTATGTCGGGATATCTTGTAGTGTTTTTTAATTACAACCGATCACAAAGGACAGCAGTATTACACATCAGTAAGGTTCACTGAAGGATTGTTTGTGGGTTTGGGTGTATTATTCACTGCAAGTGTCTGAGGTTTCATTCTCAGTCCTAAATCCATGTTTTCCCATTACAGGTAGTCCAGCCGAGGCGTGTGACCTTAAACCAGGAGACCGCATATTGTTCCTCAATGGCCTAGACATGAGGTGTGTTTATTTTTTTTTTATGCTGTGATGATGCTTTAAAAGTTGCATATCAGTGAATATGATATATTACAGTACATACTCTGGTAAACTTATCTAAGAATACACAATTACATTTTTTTTTAATAATTAAGTGATTTCTCAGAAACATGTAATCAAGTTAACCTAATGTGTCGGAATTTCACCTAACCTAATAATTTTATTTGCAATACCATTCAAAAGCTTGGGGTCATAATTAATTTTTTTAATTAAGTCAGCTTTTATTCAGTAAGGACACATTAAAATGATCAACAGTGACAGTAAAGATACTGATTTTTAAAAATGCTGTTCTTTTGAATTTTCTATTCATCAAAGAATCCTAAAAAAAAACGGGTTTTCTCAAAAATATTAAGCAGCAAGGCCGTTTTCAAAATTGACAATAATAAGAATGTTTTCTTGAGCACCAAATCAGCATATTAGAAAGTTTTCTGAAGGTTTATGTAAGACTGAAGACTGGAGTAATGGCTGCTGAAAATTCAGCTTTACCGTCACAGGAATAAATGGTTTTTTAAAATATATTAAAATATATAATATATTATTTGTAATTAATTTTAATATTTTACAATATTTTTTCCTGTATTTTTGATTAAATAAATGCAGCTTTGGTGAGCATAAGAGACTTTTCGACAAAAGACAAGTAACACAGAGACCTTTTAGTATTTTTAGTATTTTATGGGACTGTTATATGATGATTTGAAGGGTGTTATTTTGAGAGGTAACAATATGGTGATGAGTAAAGTTGTTAGTTAGGTTGGAAACAAGCTATTATTAGATTAAATATTCATATTATGCATTTACATTATTCTGCTGCTCCTTAACAAACCACAAGCTTTCTCAGATCGTTTGTTTAGGCCTACATGTAAATCAGTTTCCCGTGGCCATGGGAAATTGTTAATCTCAAGAGCACACTAATTTACTTCATACTGCCTCCGGGGGACTGACAAGCATAGAATTGTCAATAAAAAAATTTCACCTACTGTACATTTATTTTTAAGAGTTATTTAAGAGAACATGCTATTTGCACCCCATTTTGCCCTATATTATATTATATTATATTATACACATTATTTAATTTGATCACACATTAATTCTATTCTGTGTACATTTAGGAACTGCTCCCATGAGAAGGTGGTGTCCATGCTGCAGGGCAGTGGCGCCATGCCCACTCTAGTGGTGGAAGAGGGCCCTGTAGACTATCCGCTCTCAGATTCAGAGCCAGAGGAGACCCCCACCATCCCCCGCTCGCGTTCCCCGGCCCTCAGCTCCCTGCAGTGGGTAGCTGAGATCCTGCCTCCCAGCATCCGCGTGCACGGCCGTACCTTCAGCCAGCAACTTCAACACCTCCTCACCCTACAAGAAAGATATACCATTTGCAAAGCTCTGGAGACCTTCTTCCAGCACAGGTCAGGTCAAAATTCATCATGGCTGAGTGGGAGAAGACACGTGACTTTAGTGTTATATTAGCTGAGGAAGGCAGTACTGAGATTAAATACTGTTTTATCAAAGTAAAAATGAATTGTAAATGTGGCTCCCAGCATGCTTGTGATTAGAGATTAGATTTGGTCTCAACTTCGACTATAACAACAGTACATATGCTGTTGTTACATGCAGGTCAAGAGTTTGGAATAATTTAATTGTAAAATTTATATAGAGATTTTTTTTATGTTGTTGAAGGCTCTTCTGCTCACTAAGGCTGCATTTATTTTATGATGTACAACAAAAAACATTAATATTGTGAAATATTATTAGAATTTAAAAGAACTGTTTTTGATGTAATATATTTTAAAATGTAATGTATTGCTTTGATGACATCGCTGAATTTTTAGCAGTCATTACTTCAGTCTTCAGTGTCACATGATCCTTCAGAAATCATTCTAATATGCTGATTTGCTGCTCCAAATTTTTATTTATTTTTTTATTTTTTTTACTGTTATCAATGCTGAAAATTGTTTTTGCTGCTTAATATTTTTGTGTAAAAATGATACCCTACCATTCAAAAGTTTGGGGAAAGTAAGATTTAAAAAAGAGAAAGCAAAACTTTTATTCAGCAAGGACAAATTAAATTGATCAAAAGCGACAGTAAAGACATTTATACAGTGACAAATGATTTCTATAATCTTCAAATAGATGCTGTTCTTTTCATCTTTCTATTAATCAAAGAATCTTGAAAAAATATATCATGATTTCCACAAAAATATTAAGCAGCAAAACCGTTTTTATCATTGGTAATAATACAAATCATTATTGATAATTGAGTACCAATAATAATAACTGAGCACCAAAATTAGTATATTAGAATGATTTCTGACCAATGCGATGTTTGACAAAAAAGCATACGAGTTAGAAATGTGTTAGCCAATTATAGGCAACAGAGCTAATTAACACTTATAGATTGTAACCATCCTGCCATATGATTACAAATATCATAGCATACTGTTCCCACAGTGAGGGATTTTCTGCCGCTTGGCAGCAGCAAGGCAAATATGAAAAGCATTCATAAATAGCTTCAGCCTCAAGCACAAATAGATACTCATAATCAGGAACAATCTGTGGGTTCTTCTAAATTTAATAAATAATGCTCACTGGTACGACTGCTTGCTGAGAGAGCAGCCCAATTATTTCTAAAATGGCTCCCTCTGTTGCATGTAAACAGGAATGTGGACACACTCATTGTAGATGTGTTTCCAGTGCTGGACACTCCAGCCAAGCAGCTGATTTGGCAGTTCATTTACCAGCTGCTGACCTACGAGGAACAGGAACACTGCAAGAGCAAGATCGCCCGCTTCCTGGGCTTCAAGAGTGCAGGTTAGCTGTGAGTTTACTGTGTGAACGTCAGTGGTTTTCTGTCCTGAATGTATTCTGATTGTGCATTTTTATTACCGCAGAACCAGAGGTAGGTCCAGAAACCCACAGACGGAGCAGCTCCATGCGAGTGTCAGGTACCTCTCACAAAAACACTGTGAGAGAGAGAAGCTCAGACGACTGCATTATCGGCACTCACCTGGGAATGGGTATGATATTTTCCCCTGTCAGTGTTTTGGTTTTAGACTAAAAAGCAGGGTCCAGAATGAATTCTTTCCACACTAAACATATGAAAACATGAACATTATAATATTGTATAAAATAATTATTTTATTCATTATATGTACATATACACTACAATTCAGTTTTGGGGCCGGTACATTTTCCCCCCCCCCATGTTTTTAAAAGAAGTCTCTTATGTTTACCAAGACTGCATTTATTTGGTCAATAAACAGTAAAAATCATAATATTGTAAAATATTATTACAATTTAAAATAAATATTTTATATTTCTTATTATTATTATCAAGGTGAAAACACTTTATGCATTTTTTCAGGATTCTTTGGTCAATAGAAAATTTAAAAGAATGGGTTTAATTTGAAATACCTTTATATTTATATAAAAATTTAACAAATTTGACATATTTGTAAAAATTTTAACATTTGAAAAATTTATAACATTATATACAGTGGGTACGGAAAGTATTCAGACCCCCTTAAAAAGACTCATGGCTGTATTAGATCAAAAGTGTGCTTCTACTAAATACTGAGCAAAGGGTGTGAATACTTAGGACCATGTGATATTTAAGTTTTTCTTTTTTAATAAATCTGCAAAGATGTCAACAATTCTGTGTTTTTCTGTCAATATGGGGTGCTGTGTGTACATTAATGAGGAAAAAAAATTAACTTAAATGATTTTAGCAAATGGCTGCAATATAACAAAGAGTGAAAAATTTAAGGGGGTCTGAATACTTTCCGTACCCACTGTATATATCTTTATTGGCACTTTTGATCAATTTAATGCATTTTTGCTGAATAAAAGTGTTAATTTCTTTTTAAAAAAAATTCTTACCCCAGTCTTATGAATAGTAGTGTAACATATTTATTATTTTCTTGCCAAAATCAGTTTTTACTCTTATTTGATACTTGATGATTGTTGGATTATTGGACATTTTAGATCCTGCTGATAATATGACATAGAATTGACATTGATATAGGCCAATAAGTTTATATAGAAAACTGTTTATGCTACTCATTGCTCCATCGTAACACTGTTTCAGATAGCCATGCCATCCCAGCAGGCACCGGACGTCAATATAATGTCAGGTTGACGATGGACCCCAATCTCGGACAGACGTTGCATTTTGGTTGAGAATGAAAATCGGGCTGACGTCAGTATTTGACATCAATTTGACACCGACTTAATGTTGGATTCTGGTTACACAACCTAAAAACAACAAAATATTGGACATCAAATTAACATTGACGTTAGACGCTGAATTGACATTGAATTTTGGTCACCCGACGTCACAACCGAAATTGAACCAAATATCAACGTCTTATGACATTGTGTGCCTGCTGGGATACTGTCACTCTTGTGGGGTAAACAAGCAGTCAGAACTGTTCTCAGCCATGTTTATGATTCACCATGCAGCATCTATTAGGCAAAAGCTATAAACTGCTTGCAAGCGCTGTGCGCCTCTCAGCCACCTATACCACCCAGACCCGCTGCTAAAGCTGACTGCCCTCATCCTCTATTTAGCTCCTGAAGGGCAAGCAGCTTTCTATGCACATGCTCTGTTTCTGGACAGCACTTTCTCTGTGTCTCAGGAACATTCACTGACCCTGTGACTCCAGAGGAAAGACAGTGTGGGGATGGGACTTCCTTCCCAGAGTCCCCAGATCTCAGCCACGTGGGTACCATTTACTGCTCATCCACAATTCATAGTGCTGTCATCACTGCTGTTATGAAATCATCTCATCTAACCATGCCCCAACCCATAGATGTCAGGAGTGTACACGGAGCTTGAGAACGTGTATCCCAGGAAAAGCAACCAGTCTCTCCAGAGTCACTCCTCACCCAGGGCTGTCGGCATGGGCCACGCTGAGAACAATACATACACTCAGTCTTTCACACACAGTAACACAGGTATTCTGATCTTATTCTGACATCCACAACTGTCACATGGTGCCTCCAAAAAAGAGACAGCCATGATTATGATGACAGATACTACGATAATGGCTGTGCAGGACCTGTGTGACCATTTGGCACTAAATGTTCTTGCTTATGTAGTGAATGTAAGATATAACGTGGGGTTTTCAAACTGGGGTCCAGGGAGCCACAAGGAGCTGGTAGGGGCATACTTCTAAAGCATTTATTAATCTTAGTTAACGCTAATTTCAACTAAATCAAAATAAAAAATCTGTTAACATTAGTTAATGAACCTGAGCTAACATTAACTAAAAATTAGTTGTATTTTTATCAACTAATATTAAAAAAGATGAATAAATATTGTAATAAATGTATGGCTCATTGTTAGTTATGGGACGTGTTACCATAATTTCTTTAACATTATTACCGTTTTTTTTCTTCTTGGCTTTCTAAAGACTAGTTGGTTATCATTAACTGTAATTATATATATATATATATATATATATGCAATTTTTTTTTTTTTTTTTACAGTAATAGATTTTAAGAGTAAGAAATTAAAAATTCAAATTTGGATATTATAAGTTATCAAAAAATTCATTTCATTTTTCATTTCATTTTTCAATGTTTCTCTTCAGATTTGGATGATAATTCTAACATTAAAATGGGTGTCATCTCCAATTGAAATTAAATATTTTACAGATAATATTATAATTGTTTGTTTTGCAATGACAATATATGAGCCAGTTATTTTAGAGGTCCCGTACAAGAAGGGCCATGGCAAGTTTGAAAATCCCAAATTTAATGTATTAGGATGTTGTAGTTCTTGGTCTTGGTCATTTTAAAACTTTTTAGAACATTTATTAAGATCTCTCATAAGTGTACTATAAATGTTCCTCATGAGTTTGTTCATTTTGCAGGGAACCGTAAGTCAGGCCTCTCTCTTTCATGGACTGAATCTTTTCCTGGCCCTCAGTTCGAGCCTTACCAGCAGACTGTTCCTTCTCCAGACAGTGTGGACTCTAATCCTTATGTTAGTTTTGACAGCCCCCCAGCCTCCCCCTTGCCTTCTGATGAGCCCAGTCCTCTGCCCCAGCGCAGGAAGCTGTTTACCTTCTCACGGCCACCTCGCAGCCGAGACACTGACAAGTTCCTGGATGCTCTGAGCGAGCAGTTGGGCCACAGGGTCAATATCGTGGATGACTTTAAAGGAGGGGAGAATGACTATGAGGAGGTTTGTGCCAGACACAGCCAATTAAATGTCACAAAAATATAATAATAAAATAATCACAAACAAGCATTTATTTATATAAATTATACACAAAATTATCATAATTTTTTTTCTATCCATTCTCCAAAACACTTGTCTCAGAGGGTCATATTTAATTTAATTTAATTTAATTTAATTTATCGTTGCACAAGGTGCTGCCCACCCGTGAGGAGTTCAGGGCCCAGCACACCCATCCTCGACGCTCCTCTCCCCAGCCCAGCGCTCAATCCGTTCTGCAGCTGCACCAACCAAAGGCTCACCCCATCCTACAATCAACCCCGCACACCTCCCCTCAACCCCCACACGCAACCACACAGCACACTCACCTGCGGCATCCCACCCAGTCAGTCTACCAGAGCAGGCAGACCTCTGCTTCCAGAACCTCCCCTAACCTGACCAAACAAAAGAGCCTCCATTCCCAACAAAGCTATGAAGGCACAGGTCATATTTAATTTAATTTAATTTAATTTAATTTAATTTAGTAAACATTTCATATTTATTAATTAATTAATTTATTTATTTATTTATTTTCCATCTTTCCATTCTTTAAACACTTTTCATATGTAAGGTCACATTTTTTATTCTATATTTTAAGATGAGCCTTATATACATTTGTTTCATACATGTTTTTGCTTTTCAAAGCCCTAATTGTCAACAAAAGAGCCTCCATTCCCAACAAAGCTATGAAGGCACACTCTCAACCAAGGTTCCCCCACCACCGCCACCTCCTTTACCCCCACCTTGTGGTCCTCCACCTTTGCCCAAAGCCAGCCCGAAAGCCTCTGACAACAACCACATGAGCGTTAAAAGACTGCGCTGGCAGCAGGTGGAGAACTCTGAAGGAACTATCTGGGGACAGGTTGGTTGGTGATACATAACAACCACGGTGTACATCAGAACCATGGTGAAGTGTAGGTGCAGGTCATGTGATCCATTATTAAGTAGTGATAATCTGTTTTCTAGCTTGGAGATGATCCTGACTATCATAAACTCAGTGACATGGTCAAGTACCTGGATCTGGATCTGTACTTCGGCACACAGAGGAATTCCAGTAAGTTCTCTATTTTGTTTTGGCTAGTTCAATGTAGTATTGCATGTATTCATCATCACCCACTTTTCACACAGTGCTGTGAAAGAGTGTTTGCCCCCCCATCTGATTTTCTGTGTTTTTACACTGAATGTCTTCAAATCATCAATCAAAACCTATGAATTTAAAACAAAACCCTTCATGAACCATAAAAAAAACACAACAAAATGCAATTCTTCTTGTAGTTATTATTTGAGTGTATCATGGTGAAGGAATTTAGTTTTTTCATAATTTAAAAATAAATTTTTTTAATGCAATATAATTTTATTTCTTAATTAATGATATTAGTTTATTTTATTATTTATTTAAATAATACAATTTATTACACTACTATTCAAAAGTACGGTGAAAGATTTTTGTAATGTTTTTTTTTAATAAAAATAAATAAAAAGCAGCTGCCATTAAAGTCTTAAGTGTCAATATGTGCTTATAATGCTCAAAAATGATATATTTTCAATGTAGAAAATGGTTGTGCTGCTTAATATATTTCTTTGTAACATTATAAATGTCTTTGCTGTCACTTTTTATCAATTTAATGCATCATTGCTGAGTAAAAGTACTAATTTCTTAAAAAATATAAATTATTGACCCCAAACTTTTGTTACGATTTATATGGCATTTAAACATGTCATCATGTAATATAATATAAAGCAATATAATACTGTATACTTTACACTAGAAATTCAGACAGGGGGAAAGTCTTTTAGAGACACTTAACAACATCTCAACATTGTCTGTATATTGCAGTCTTCATCCACATGTGACATCCATTTTGTAGCTTGTCATTTTGATGGTGAAAATGAACTCAATTACCCTGTCTATTTTTGTACTTTTCAGCTCATCTCTCATGGAGAGCTATATCTGTCTCAGATCCCATCATTCTCATCCAGTTATTGGCATCTTACAGCTTCTTTTCAGTCTCATAACCCTTCATACAGTATATTGTCTCCAGTACTGGTGCGAGGAGTGCTCATCCTTACACTTTTATTAAATGTGTCAGTCTCTCTTCCAGAGCCCACTTTCCTGCCCGAAAACTTTAAAAAGAAAGACGTGGTTGAGATTCTCTCCCATAAAAAGGCCTACAACGCTTGTGAGTATGAGTGGGGTTGTGTTAAAGTGCTCTGGGTTGAGTCAGGTTTGTTGTCACATGTGACGTAGATGTGTAGGAGTAGGTTAAAGAGGTGCTGTAGGTATTTGCTGCTGTAGCAACTGTGTGGGGAATTTTCCCAATGAGAAGCTTAAGAATCCATGTCTCATCACATTTGCTGCCCTGTTCAGCTATCCTCATAGCGCATCTGAAGCTGTCCCCGAAGGAACTGCGAGAAATTCTCATGACCATGAGCACCGAGCGTCTGGAACCCGCACACATTAAACAACTGTTGCTTTACGCTCCCGACGACGAGGAGGAAAAACGGTTTCAGCATTATGACCAGGACCCTGTCAAGCTCAGTGAGCCCGACAAGTTTGTCCTACAGGTGCTGTTTTACCTGAGTTCCAGCTGGTTTACCAGTCATAATTCATGTAAATATTAATAGATTCTTGTGGGCTTGTTCTACAGATGCTACTAGTTCCTGAGTATAAAACCAGATTGAGGAGTCTTCTTTTTAAGACCACCGTGCAGGAGAAAACAGAAGAAATGAGAGGCGCATATGAATGCATATACAAAGCCTCATTAGAGCTTAAAAACAGCAAGAGGTTGGCCAAGATCCTGGAGGTAAAACACTTAATTGAATTATAAATGTTTTATCTTTTATAAATCTTCTGCAGAGGAGTTCATTTAAATATTATTCTTACAGTATGTACTCTTTTTGTGTTTTTAGTTTGTTTTAGCAATGGGAAATTATCTGAATAATGGTCAACCCAAGACGAATAAAACAACAGGATTCAAAATTAATTTTCTTACTGAGGTATGTTTGCAATAATTACTGAGAAAACATTGCAATGTTTTTATTAAATATTGTTCATATGATGTTTTTTATGTTTATTCTAATAATTAATTAAAATACTCCCCAGCTGAACACAACAAAAACTGTCGATGGAAAGTCAACTTTCCTCCATATTCTTGCCAAATCATTATGCCAACACTTCCCAGAACTCCTCAACTTCGCCAGGGACCTCATAACAGTGCCACTAGCTGCCAAAGGTAAGGTATCAGAACAACTTCCTGTTAGATATTTGAATATACTGTACACCACTGTTCAGAAGTCTGGGGTCGGTAAGAATTTTTAAAATAAGTCTCTCATGCTCACCAAGGTTGCATGTATTTGATCAAAAATACAGTAAAAACAATAATATTGTGTAATACATTTCATATTATTATCAATGATGACAAAAATTGTGATGCTTAATATTTTTGTGGAAACCATGGTACGTTTTTTTTTCAGGATTGTTTGATAAATAGAAAGTTCAAATGAACAGCATTTATTTGCAATAGAAATATTTAGTAACATCTTTACCTGATCAATTTAATGCATCCTTGCTGAAAAAAAAGTTTTAATTTCTTTAAAAGAAATCGTACTGACCTCAAAAACGTTATTTTCTGCTGTTGGTTTTTGTGGAAATGCAGACATAATAGTTGCAAAAATGTCAATTAAATGTATTGAAAAACAATTGGTGTTGACATATTTTCACTGTAAATGCAGTCAATCAAAGGACCATTACTGCTGAGCTCAGTGACCTTCACTCCACCATCCAGGAAATAAGAACCGCCTGTGTGAAAATCCCAGCTACTGCAGAGGATCGCTTCGCATCGGTTATGAGTGTATCCAACAACCAACAGCATTTTTTGAATGAGTTTGTTAGTGAAAAGAATAAAAACACATATCCTGTGAGAATATATGTATATTGAACTTCCGTTGCAGTGTGTATCAGCCCTTGACTCTGATGTTAGAGCTTTCTGGAAAACTGTCATCCAGCTGTGCAGTCCCTAGACTCCTTGCAGCAAAGAGCAATGGATGAGTTTCATAAAGTGGCCTCGTATTTTGGAGAAGACAGTAAAGCCACGACCACAGAAACCTTCTTTGGCATCTTTGCTGAATTTATCTCCAAATTTGAGGTGAGTTTCTGAAATGCTGCCGTTTTTACAGATGAAATGACACCATGTCATGAAGTAAGAGTTTGCTGTGTTTCTATTCAACAGAGAGCACTGAGTGAGACGCAAGGAACAGAAAACCCCAGAAGCCCCCGAATAGCTTCGCCGCTGGCATGGTGAAACCAACAGCATCTGCTGTTTCTAACCCAGAACGCCCATGTGCCAATAAAAACAGGGAACTTGATAGCGTGAAAGGAAACAAACCTTACTTTAAATGTCTTAGATTAATTAAAAATATCTTTAGAATAAATATATATATATATATATATATATATTTTATACTGAACTTCAGCGTGTTTGTCAAGAAAGTATATTAATATAATCTAATTAATAATTTTGTTTTGAGATTTCCAGCTGCTAGAGAATGTAACAGGAACATGAACACTTCAGGTAGAGAGGATTGATGGTGTTTTTGGTGAATGAGGTGAATGAATGTTTTCATGATGAACTTACTCATCCTCAAGCCAAATGTGTTTTAACACACACACACACAGTTTCAAATGAGTTTTAAATTCTTCACAGTATTAGTGTTTTATTGTTGTACTCCATTGTGATACGCTGATACTATAGCAGAACAAGAGTGCATCCTTCATAAGTGAGGACAAAACTATTTTCCAAATCAATTATCATTTGTATTTTATTGCAATATTAGTTGTATAATTGATCGGTGGTTTCATCCCGCATGAGAATCTGTGGTAGGTTTTACATCATGAAATTGGTTTTCAACTATGAAAAGAAAATGCAAAAGCTTCACTTTATTAAACGGCAGAGGGGTACACATATCATCTGAGTTCTTTTAAAACGAGTATGTAGCTTGTCTGACTTTTTTAGGTACTATTGTTTAAGATAACAATAATGCATTTCTTCTTGAACAAATGCATGATCTTCCTTATTGCCTGTTTTTGTGTCATTTATGTGTATTTTTCTTAGTTCCTTGTCAGAACCTCCATTCTTTCTATAAATTGTTCGTCGGAGAAAACGTCTCAGGTTACGTATGTAACCATGGTTCCCTGAGTAGGGAACGAGACTGCGTCCTCTAGGGGTCGCTATGGGGAACGCCTCATCGTGACCCGTGTCTGAAGCATACATTGAAAAAACACCAACAACACGTTGGCCGGCGACAGCCATGACGGCACTACCGGTGTGACTATAGTATAAATAGGCGACGGGAGAACACATCATCCACTTCTTCGTCTCAAGCTTGCGTCCGCAACATGGCAAGAAACCTAGAGGACGCAGGGTCTCGTTCCCTACTCAGGGAACAATGGTTACATAAGTAACCTGAGACGTTCCCTTTCATGGGAACTTCGAACTGCGTCCTCTAGGGGTCGCTATGGGGAACGGTATACCCACGCCACCATGCTGAGGGGAGTGCATGCCAGAAACCATGGCGAGCACTAAGTACCAACTCTACCATATTGCCATGGGAGTTGCCCCTGGGACGTTAGACGGCTGTCAGTGACATTATTCCCTACGGCCAAAGGCCTAGGCTACATACCCCAAAATACTTACCTGTTAGGGCCAGACTCCTGGTAGAGCTCAAGGCTTGGAATCAGGAATAGATTCCTTTAAGGGAATATGACCAAGAGCCTAGAATCATACTAAGTCTTGGCCTGTCACACAGGGCTACCGCACATTTCTCTGTATATGCTGAAGGAACTGTCTCAACAGACCCCTAGTAGCAACACCCTGTTAAAGTAGGTATCCAGAGGATACATAGGTAGAGTGGTGCCCAAGCCGGAACCGGGGTTTTAAACCACTCAGAAAGAGCACTAAGCTGCTGCGCATAGCTATTACCATACAGGATTCTAGAAAAGAATGCAGAGTACTAGCGTGCAAACTTACCACAGTGTGGATTTTAGAAAGTGTACAAAGACTTCACGTGCACACTTACCATAACATGGATTTTTTAAAAATACCGTTCTAAGGGGTCTCGTGGCACTCTGAAAGAGCAGCCCATAGATGGAAATGGTGCATCCCAAAACGCTATGTTTGAGAAGTCATCAACTCGATCTAAGGCTGCACCCTGAAAGAGCAGCCCATAGATAGAAATAGCGCATCCCCAAAAACGCTATGTCTATGGCTACAATGCTGGAGTGGCTAGCAGTAAATCTGTAGCCGAGGGAGCAAACATCCAGCTCTCAATCGAGAGGGAGCTCGACCTACAGTTTGTTCCAATGGTGGAACAGCTAGCAGTTACTTAGCTGAAGGAGCAACAGAAGGCTCACCTGAGCTGGAGGGCTATGGCCAGAAAGATAACGTTCATCGAGACGACCTTGTGACGTCACTTCCTTAGTCCGCTTCCACGGCAAGTAAAGCCTTGGGAAAGCCCCTCTTTAAACTCATCGGCCAGGTCCACCTGCGATCCCCACGAGCTCATTCTCCTCCGTGCCTCAGCAGCGTGCCTTCCTGAACCGCGGGAAGCAGATGGCTGCCCCTTTTTACTCGGAAAAAGAGACAAACGAGAACGGAGCTTTTTCATTGAAAAACGCTCGCAGTGCATGCAGATTGCCCCCTCGAGGACATTGCGTGCGTGCTCTTCGCCCAAACAAACAACGCATAGTTCGTGTGTGTCATCAGGATGATGTGTTCTCCCGGCGCCTATTTATACTATAGTCGCACCGGTAGTGACGTCATGGCTGTCGCCGGCCAACGTGTTGTTTTTTCAATGTATGCTTCAGACACGGGTCACGACAAGGCGTTCCTAGAGGACACAGTTCGAAGTTCCCATGAAAGGGAACCTACAATTTGCATTTGCATGTAGCAGAGTATTTCTATTTATGTAATGTATTCCTGTTTTGATTGTTTCTGTATCGATTTGTTATATTGAATTTGTTTTACCAAATTAATTAGTTGTAAATTAATTTGTGTACAAACTGTTGGCGTGACTAGCCTAGTGTTTTCCTGAGCAGTTCTATACCGGCTTCAATATCGACAGGCCACATATTGCTGCGTTTTAATCAGATGTCTAAATTGTTTTGCCTGAATAAATACGCTTTTGCGGAAATTCATCTCTGTGGAATTATTTTGTACTGAAACTGTATCCATTTATGGAGGTCTTTCTTTAAGACCCACGCTCCATCAATGCAGCAGCTGTAATTTTGTCCTCATTAACAAGTTGTACACAAAGCAATGAGTATACTTTTGAAAAATAGTAGCTCAATAAAAGCTGCTTTTTTCATGGCAATAGGCTAAAAAGTTATAGGCTATTTACGGTATTTATTGTTACTTTGTCACATTTAACAACAGTTTTCTATTAAATCTGATTTAAAGGGGTGTCTTCAACTGTATCTAATCATGTCAGTTTGTAAAGTGATTTCTTTTTTGCATTTATATTTTCACAATTATACAAAAATCTTTTTTTTCGAGGCACTCTCCAATAACTTCATCATAATGTTCTCGTTACCAGGCAACACTATAAATATTTAAAATACCAAAGATCTTAGATACGTGTATACAGAGTAAGAGGATACATGAAAATTACTAATTATAAACCCCTGCCTGCATCTTCATCAAGAACCTTAAACCATCTAATTACACAAACACACAAAAAGTAATTTACTGAGACAAAAAAGCACAGTATAAGGCTAAATCCTCTCTTCATAAATAAATGACATTTTAGAATGAGATTTATATCAGTGAGGTTTATATCATTAAGGTTTATACCAAGGTGCTGAAAGATCAGAATGAGGAGAAAGTCCAAACACAACTGACCAAAATTAATGCATGAATAAGTATTAGTCATATCTGTAAATCTCGATTCTGGTTGGTCCATTGTGATTATTCTGTAGTCAAATGTTTTAAAATCTAATAATAATTGACTAGTGTCCTAATTGATTCCCCAAAGCTGTGCCACTTGTTTATCACATGGTTTCTTTCTTTACATATAAAATAAAAATAATTATTTTGTAAGTATGTAATAAGCAAAATAATGAACAGTCAGTTGGTCCCCTGCAGGCTGTATAAGAGTAGAGAAGACACTATTTTGACAAATGTAATTTCCCACAATGAAAGCTTACAGTGTGTAAAAAGACTAGAATAAGTTGTTGAATTAATGAGCATACAACATTTTAGTCAACTGAATGATGGCATAAACAGCAAGTGTGAGGTGTTAGTTCAGCTGGATAAATACAGTCATTCTCAACTCATGGTCACATTCTCTCTACATATCCATTCAAGTCTGTATAAAACCATTAATGGACTTGAATTAGAGGCATTGGTGGTGTTCATTTATAGTGTAGGTCTCATTTGGATTATGATTAAATTAGCATGTTGGTTTTGGCGCGTCGGTCCAGATTTAACCATGTCTGGGTCCGGATGCGGACCGGAGTCCGCCTATTGAGTACTCCTGGTGTAGGTGGTCACAGTTAACTTCAAATGGTGTAATAATTTTTTTTTGTGCTCCCTATAAATCCAAAACTACTGGTGAAGAAAATAAATGTGCATTTATAAATAAATAAATATACATAACTAAACTAAATTTGAGAAGTCAACAACTACACAATGAACTGCTGAAACACCGGTTCTTGTTTCACTTTTTTATTTCACTTTGAAGCAGTAATACAAAGCATTTTTTTGTCTTTTTCCAAATTCAATAAAGATGTAGTCTTCTGACGTGAATGCTCTGAACTTCAAATGCACCATCAACTTTTCGTTTCATAAGTGTGAAGTCAGTGTACTCTCCAAACCTCGTAAAATAGCTCTTGTAAGTGTACTTGGGTAAGGCAGCATGGTAAAGGCAAGGAAAATGTATAAAGAAAAGCTAACAGTGAGCATGAACGCCCTACATTTTTCTCTCCCATATCGATCAGAATCAGGTTCCAAATGTTGTTTTTGAAAAAGAGCATGAAGCAGTGTCACCATGTAACTGTTCAGCAAGCTGTTCACACTAGATAATGTCTGACAGGCTGATAATCATCACCACTGGGGTTCATTTTTGTGATTTGGTCAAATGGTTCATTTGAAATATCAACAAAACAACTTTGGGTGGTTTTAATAGATAATTATGATCGAGAGTTTATAGAATACGAGACAAGGAGGGAAAAATGTAAGCAATTATGTCTCCTCTTAGCTATTATACAGTAAGACTAACGTCCAAGTGGCACATTTTTCCCCACTTTGGTACCATATCAGGAGTAAAAGGAGGGAAATACAAAGCCATCATTGTCTAGGCCTGGTAAACATACAAACAAAGCCATAGCATAAAGTTTCCATACCAGAATATCACTAA